TGCCATTATAGACATATACTTGCCGGATGAATTTTGAGGAACGGTATTTATCTAACTCGTTACAACAGAATAGACATGAACACAACAGAACAGGAACAGACACGATTGAGAAGAATGTTGTGGTTGTCAGGTGCTGTTGATAAGGACTATTGTGACTCATAGCAACAACAGATGTGAATGCTGTTCTATCCTGTGCCATCCTCATCATCTCTCCCATGGTCACACCTAATTACAGTAATTACAGAAGTCACTGTGTCAAGCTATCTTGTTGAGGTTCGTCCTCTTTTTCTCTGATCCCTCTACCTTTCACAGCATGATGGCTGGCTCCTCCTTAAAACATGCCCAAGGTATGTGAGACCAAGTTTCAATATACTAGCCTTTGAGGAGCACCACAGTTTCACTTTCTCCAAGACAGATTTGTTTGTTCTTTTGGCAGTCCATGGGATATTCAGGACTCTTTACAAACACTACAATTCAAAGGTATCGACTCTTCTTCTGTCATCCTTATTCATTATCCAACTGTCAGATGCATAGGAAGCAATTTAAAAAAATATTGCTCCGATCAGATACACCTTAGTCTCTAAACTGATATCCTTGCTTTTTAGCACTTTGAGGAGGTCCTTTACAGCAGATTTTCCCAGTGTAAGATGTCTTTTGTTAAGGAAGAATAAGTTACCAGGCAAACTAGTCCTGCCCTGAGACTATCCTGTAACATATTGAATGATATATGCCTTTTGACCAATCTTGCAATCCCATTAAAATGTTATGGATTTGTCACTGCTGAATTCTCATTTCTACATATCCCACCTTCAATCCGTAAGGGTCTTTCAGCTAATTATGGGTTTTGTAACCTTTAGTGTCTGTTCCAACAATTTAAGAATGTATCATGTTTTATGGTTCCTTGTTACTGTGGTTGTTAGGTGACCTCGAGTCAAGTATGACTCATAGCAATGCTGGGAACAACAGATCTGAAACCTGTACTATCTTGTGCCATTTCCATCATCTCTGACACACTAGAGCCCCCTGCTGCAGTCACTGGGTCAACCCATCTCGTCAAGGGTCTTCCTCTCTTTCGCTGGACCTCCACTTTTCTAAGCATGATGTCCCTCTCTAAGGAGTAGTCTCTCCTAACAACATGTCAAATGTATGTGAGTCAAAACTTTCTTGTTTTTGCCTTCAAGGAGTATTTTGGTTGCACTTTCTTCAAGACAATCTATTCTTTTGTCAGTACATGGGGTGCTCAGCACTTTTCTCCAATACCACAGTTCAAAGATGCAAATTCCTCTGTCATCCTTATTCATTGTCCAGCTCTCAGATTCATGGCAAGTGCTGGAAAAGGCTAAAATCAGGCACACCTTACTCTCCAAACTGATGTCATTGCTCCTCAGTAATTTAGAGAGATCTATGACAGAAGACTTTCCCAATGCAATATATTTCCTGATCTCCTACCAATGATGTCAACTATGGATTCTAGTAAGATGAAGTAATTGACAATTTCAATCCTTTCTCCCTCTATCACGATACTGCCTGTTGTTCCAGTAGTGAGGAGGATTTATGTCTTCTTGATGTTGAAATGCAGTCCACATTGAAAGCTGTAGTATTTGATCTTCTTCAACAAGCACTTTGAGCTCTCTCCATTTTCAGCAAGTGAAATTGTATCACCTGCATCAACATGTTGTTGATCAAGCTCTGATCCTGATCCCACATTCTTCTTCACGGAGTCCAGGTTCTTGAATCACTTGCTCAGTGTACAGATTTAATAGGCACAGAGAAAAGATACAACCCTGATGCACATCTTTCTTACTAGTAAGCCATGCAGTTTTCCCTTGTTCTGTTCAGACAATAGCTTCTTGGTCTGGGTATGGGTTTTATATAAGCATAATTAAGTGCTCTGGGATTCCCATTCTTTTAAATTTTAGCCATAGTTTGGTATGATTCATAGAGTCAAATGCCTTTGCATAGTCAATCAAACACAGATATTTTTTGTGATAATCTCTGCTTTCAGCCAATTTTCATCTGACATCAGGGATGATATCCCTGGGGCAGTGGCCTCTTCTAAACCCAACGGAATTCTGGCAGTTCTCTGTATTATTATAGTAATTTTTGAATGATCATCAGCAATATTTTCCTTGCATGTGATATTAAGGATATTGTTCCAACAGAATAATGTACACATTCTGTTGGAGAATGGGAATATGGAACTTTCTTGGGAATGGGAACAGTCATCAGTCACCCAAGTAGCTGTCCTCCAAATTTCCTGGAGAGCTAGACTGGTGAGTGCATCCAGGGCTGCCTCAGTAATTTGGAGAGGTCATACTTAGACTGTCACTGTGTACCCTTAAGTCAGAACAACCCACAGCTGATCCTCCAGTAAGTTTTCAGAGGCAGTTCATTGCAAGGGAGGAGCTTGTTCATCATCTGTCTCCCACAGAGAAACTGGTGTATCCGAACCAAATACCATTGGTATTGCAGCACAGCTTCTTACCACTAGCCGACCAGGCTAATGATCTGAGGGAAGGCTTGGCAATTTACTTCTGAAAAGTCATAGGCATGAAACCCCTATGGCAAGCAGGTTTACTTTATATTTATTGTACAGAGTTTGTACAGTCGGAATCTATGGCAAATGGTTGGAGTTTTTATTCAGAAGAACAAGGGCAGTGGATGCTGAGTTGTTAAGATGACAAATGAGTGCCTGCCAGGCCTGGGTGTTTTCTATCATGTGATAAAGAGCATGTATCACAAGCTCCCTCTTTCCCGTGAGCTCCTCTGTCTTTCCACTTACAATCTCCTCCAAGTGCCTTAGGAGCAGCCCCCTCACCCCATCATCTGTCTGATTCGGCAGCCTGCGGGTCTGCATCACTCAAAAGCAACACAGGGCTCATTGGTTATTTTTTTGCGTGTGTGCCCTGTGTCTTCAGTTACCTGACAAGAACCCTGGAGAGCAGGAATATGATATTACTCCTTTCTGTGTCTCCCCGTGGCACTTGGTCTGGTGTTTGGGGCATGGCCGACAGCGTACACATCTGCTCACCGAGGGAACAAGTGATTTATGTGATTCTGGAAGCATAGTGGTAGAGAGTGGCTTCATTCAACCGCAACTACATTGAAAGAGAAAACCTTCTACTCTTCACATTTCTGAGATCTTAGGTTTTTCTTTTCTCTCTCTCTGTCTCTCTGTCTGTCTCTGTCTGTCTATGTCTCTCTCTCTGTCTCTGTCTCTCTCATCAGAGAAACAAAGGAAGACCTCCAATGAGATGGATTGACACAGCGACAGTAACAGCGGCTCAAGCATATCAGCAATGCTGAGGATGGTGCAAGATAGGACAAGGTTCAGTTCTCTAATTCACAGGTCACTGTGAGGTATAGTCAACTTGATGGCACCTAACGATAAAAAACAGTGCTTCTGGGTCAAGATAAATACACTGTTTGCTCCCCATCCCAACTCCATTCTCCTCACTTCTGACAAAGAATTGAGTTGAGGCTCAGGGAATCTTGGACTAGGCAGCCCAGCATCCTGGGCAGATCACACGCACACACAGTCCACCAGGATTCACATGAGGTGAGGAGAGTGGAAGGTAGTAACCATAGCTCTGTGAAGCAAACAGCTGTTGGGGTGGCCCCACCGTCATAGTAAGGCAGACCCCACTGCTTGTTGCACTGTCCTGATCCCTCACTAGCTACCTCCTCTTCCTCTCTCTGAGTCCTGACATCCCACTAATGGGCTCAGCCAGATAGCAAGGCATCTGGAGAGTCAAAGTTAGAAAGCGGCTTTGGATATGTTGTAGACAGTGTCTCTTTGAGTCAGAGACATAACAACAACAGCCAGCTGGAGTTGGCATTTAAGAGTAGGTTAGTTCCATAAATCCTTTCTGTTCTTGAGCTCAGGTGACTCAGAAACTTCTAGAAAATGCCTGAACCAAATGTGACCCCTGGATCTGAGCATCAGCTGTGACCCAGATACTTTACATCATTACCTGCTTGTTTGACTTGCCCTGTTTCTGTTGCTGTTTTGATTTTGCACAGAAAAGAGAGACACTGGGCAATTTGGGGACAGGGGAGGCTGCTCATCCTGGGGGCTCACTGAGGTGAGGATGGGAGATGACAATCACAAATTAAGGCACAGCAGTGGGGAGTGTCCTTGGGTTTTGATACAACACTTTTCCCAACCTAGCTGTCTTAGGTCTCAGGTGCCAGAATACCCTGGAAGCCAGCCGAGGCCAGTCTCTGCAACTAGTTGCTGCCACGCTGATTCTGACTTACAGAGAACCCCTGTGTGTCAAAGTTAGAATCGTGTTCCATTGGGTTTTCAAAGACTAATTATTTTTAGGCAGGTGGCCAGATTTTTCTCCCAGATTCCTGTGGGTGGGCTTGAACCACCAAACTTTAGGGTTGCAGCCCAGCCATCAGTTTTCTGCAGCGTCCAGGGACTCTAGAACTCCCACAAGAGTTGAAGAAGTCCAGTTGACTGCCAGAACGACAGAGAAATGGATCCCCTCACCTAATGGGAAGACAAGTTTAAACAAGTGAGCCATTGAGAGCTTTCCCCTGGTTGTGGACAGACACCAAAAATTAGTAATTGGGGGAGAAGAGTCAGGAAGCATGGTGACTACAGGTGGTCTGGACGGTAGTGAGTGCCACAGCTGAGAGAGCAAGCAAGCTGAGAGCAGAGAAAGATCTGGATGTAATCTGCTAGAAGCAAGCCCAGGAAGAAGTCTGACCCCACCTCGCCATCTGCACAGGGAAGGGAGGCGAGGAGGCGGGGCTTGAGTGCAAGGCTCCGCCCAAGTCCCCACCCATACCCCGCCTTAACCCCACCCCTAGCGTCTACCCCGCCTCTATGCCCCTCCCCGACTCGCCTCCTCCTATAACAGGACCCGACTCTTGCCCCGCCTCCTAGCCCCACCCCTAAATCCCGGAAGCAAAAGCTTCTCGGTCCTCGGAGCGGGGTCACGACCGGGCCTGCCAGTGCGAGGATTCCGACTGGACGAGGGGTCGGCACCATGCACAGGAACGTGCGGACCACGCTCATTTTCGGCGGCTTTATCTCCCTGGTTGGCGCTGTCTTCTACCCCATCTACTTCCGGCCCCTCTTGCGGCTGGAGGACTACAGTGAGTGACGTCTGACCTGCGCGGTTCCCTACTCACCCCCACGTCCTGCACCCTTCTCAGTTCCACGTGGTGAGATGGAAAGAACGCGACCCAGGAGGCTCGGGTTCGAGTCCTGCCCTGTGCGGCCGTCTGATGACCATGGTCAAGTGTTTACTCACTGAGACTGGCCTCATTCTTTTCTATGAAGCAGTGATCATGAAGTTTTCAGAGCAGTCAATCGCATGGGGGAAATTAGCCATTCGTCGTCTGTCTCCCAAGGAGGACCTGGTGGATTCGAATCGCAGGCCTTTAGGTTGGCAGCGCAGTGCCTTAGCACTGAGCCTCCACCAGAGCTTCCTCCCTTTCCCTCTAGGCTCTGGGGAACATCATAGATGGTAGCACCCAGTAGGTCAGCTGTGAACACAACTTCATACTCTTCGATAAGATTTCCTGAATGGTGAAAACGACTGAGTGCTGAGCTGTTAACAATAGGTTGGTGGTTCGAATCCACCCAGAGTCTCTTGGGGAGGCAGCGTGATGATCCCTTCCTGGGAGGTCACAGCCTTGAAAAGACTATGCAGCAGCTCTATTCTGCACGCGTGGAGTCACCGTGCGTCGTCATTGGCGCTTTGACAGCATCAACTATAACGCTCACAGTTGGCATTCAAAATATAGTGAAGCCGATCAGCTGCACTTGAAGGCATTCTGACTCATGGCGACCCAATGGGACAGTGTAGAGCTGGCCCACTGGGGCTTCTTGGCTGTGGTCTTCACAGAAGCCGACCGCTGCAGAGAAAATTGGAACCCACTTAGTGGTGGGTTGCGGCTGCTCACTTTCCCTTATGTGCTGTGTGCCCTGTGGCCTGCTGGTAAATTGCTGAGCTGTAATCGCCAGAGCCACGCGGTTCAAATCCACCAGCTGCTCAGCAGGAGAAAGATGGGCATTCCCTTCTCATGTGATTTATTGCCTCTGAAAACCCTCTGGAGGATCAGCTGTGGGTCAGTTAGCAGCCCAATATTTAGAGTGCACCCCTAAACCCAAGCCAGGCCACCTGTGGTGAAGTCTGTCTGACAACTCGTGCACCTAAAGGGCAGAGCAGAACTGCCCCCTCCCTGTAGGTTGCTGAGGCTGTGGGTCTTTATGGGACCTGACAGCCACACCGTTCTCCCACGGAGCTGTGAACTGGGCCGTTTGGTAGCGGTCTAACATTCTCACCAATGTGCCACCAAAGACTCTCTTTCTTATTTAGGATTCACCAAAAACGTGATTGTTTAATTTCCACTCCCTTACTTAGACTTGGAGAAGGTTGGGCAATTTTCCCCCATGCCATTTATTGCTTTTGAAAACCTTTTGGAGGGGCAGCCCTGGGTTGATTCCACCCCACAACAGTACCTTACTTAGCAGTAGATACTATTACAGAAAAGAGAAAGGATGCCAGTTTAAAGACTAAGGTGTGTCTGATGCAAATCATGATGTTTTCAGTTGCTTCCTGTACATCTGAAAGTCAGACGGTGAATAATGACTGAAGAAGAATCAATGCCTTTGAGTTGTAGTGTTGGAAAAGAGTACTGAATATCCCATGGACTGTCAGAAGAACAAACAAGTCTGTCTTGAGGAAGTGGAACCAGGGTGCTCCTTAGATAGTGAAACTTCATCTCACATACTTTGGGCATGTTGTCAAGAGGGACCTTGGAAAAAGACATCATCCTATTGGAAAAAGGCATTAGAAAAAGTGGATGCTGCAGAGGATGGATTGATATAGTAACTACAGCAGTGGGTTTGAGTATAACAGATGGTCCCACTGGTGCAGGATAGAACAAGGCTTAGCTCTACTGTTCCTAGCTTCTCTATGAGTTGTAGTTGATGTTCAACAACACCTCACACCAACTATGATTACAGATGGAGTAATCGAGGCTCAGAGAGGTTCTGAGACATACCCAGGTCACACAGCAAGTAAGTGGCAAGGTGTTTATCCCATCAGCCCAGCGTCTTCCACACCATGAAGTTGAGAATGATGGTGATGGGGATGGGAGCAGGGAGGGCAGCTGTCCTGTCCTGGGCTTACCGGTACTTTTGTTAACACTTTGTTTACATTACAGATGTCTTCAAGTGGAAATATTTCAAAGCGAAACTCCTGACCTGAGTTTAAAATTTTTCCTCTCCTTTCCCTTTAGGTTTTCTCCCCCACCCTCTCACCCCCACCCCCCATTCTGCCGATTTTCTTCATTTTAAGCTAGCTGCTCACATGACAATGGCGAATATCCAGGGAGTAATTTTCCCCCTTAATCATTCGAGTTCTATCATTCTAAAAGCCAAACTCTCCTTCCTGGAGACCTATACCTCAGCACGGATTAGCACTTTGATACATCTGAAACCATCTGTCAGAGAGAAAATATTAGGCATTAGGGGCTCATTCTGTTCTCCAGGAAACCTGAATCATCTTGAAGATGGAAGAGGGCCAGCCCTGCCCCTCGAGAATATTAGCTGAGGCTGAAAGCTGTGCGATTGGAAGGCAGGCTAAGGCTCCGTGTAAATGCTCTGCCCGTTACAAATGCCACATTTGGTGTCTGGAGGCACAGCCTTCTAAGTACACCTCAGATTTTCTTGTAGCTTTTTTCCATCAGCCAAGACGGCACTGGCCTCCCAGCGTTCTGCCCATCAGCCTATCAGCATGTGCAGCGCGTGAGGGGTCAGGATGGGTCAGAGGAGCTGCCTTGAATAATCTGTTTCCATCCTCCTTCCTCCCTCGATCCCTGGCCCAGACTATTTTACTAGGACCTCTGCAGGGGAATGAAAGGAGCCCTGGTGGAATGGTGGTTCAGTGCTTGATTGCTAAGAGAAAGGTCAGTGGTTTGAGCCCACTTGGCAGCCCAGGGGAGGAAAATGAGGCAGTCTGCTTCTGTAAAGATTACAGCCTTGAAGCCCCCCACCCCGAGCAGTACAGCTTTGCTGTATAGTATCATTATGTGGCAGTGGGTGGAGAATTTGAGAGCCATTGGATAAGTTTCAGTTAGGAAGTCCAAGTCAGTGGTTCTCAGCCTGGGGCTCATTTTCCCCTGGGGACATTTGGCAGAGTGCCCCCTGAGTACCAAAGATGGTGAAGCTTTGTATCACATACTTTGGGCATGTTGCTAGGAGAGGCTAGTCCTTGGAAGAGAGGCATCATGCTTGGAAAGGTGGTCAGCAACCAAGAGAAGGGCCCTCAGAGAGATGGATTGACTCAGTGACTGTAGCACTGGGCTCTAGTGTGTCAGAGATGATGAAGTTGGCACAGGTTAGGGCAGGGCTCAGGTCTGTTGTTCACAGGGTCACCGAGTTAGCCTGGCCTCGGCAGCACCAAACAACAGCAAAATCCTGGAGTGGATGGTACCTTCCAGGCTGGGCCCCTGGCTGAAGTGGTTTGACTCCACCAGCTGTTCCATGGGAGAAAGATGGAGATTCTCCTTCCTTTAAGATGTAGAGCCTTGACAGCCCAGCGGAGGGAGGATCACCATGCGTCAGAATACACTCAGTGGCCGGGGGGTTGTTTTGGCTTGGTGGCATATTGCATTGGCCATTGGAATGCTAACAGAAGGTTAGTGGTTCGAAACCACCAGCCGCTCTATTGGGGAAAGATGAGGCGGTCTGGTTCTAGAAAGATTTATGGAAACCCAATCGAGGGCTGCCATGCACCAGAATGAACTCAGCAGCATTGAGTTTGGGACACTTGGTTGTCACATCCTGTGCTGAGGTGTGATTATGCTACTAGTGTCTTTTGGATAGAGGCTGGGGATGGTGCTTGGCGTTCTACAATGTGTAGGACAACCACTGAAATTGAACAGTTACCTGGCCCCAGATGTCAGTGGTGCTGAGAGGGAGATCCTGTTTAGTGCAGAGGGTCAGGTGTGGCTTTGTGCTGTGGACCCCTACAAGCTCCTTACAGGAGCTCCCACAGAGGCTCTGGTTATCCGACTTGGTCTTTTAGGTAGTCTGGCCTCAATAGCCGCATTGTTGACCTAGGTGGTCGCCTGCCTTAGTGATTTGATCTTGATTTCTTTAGGCAAATCTTAACTGGGAATCATGTTTACAAAACCTCTTGGAGAGGAGTCAGTGGCACAGCAGTTAAGCACTTGGCTGCTCACCAGATGTGAAGAATTTGACCTTCGGGAGAACATTGTGTCAGCCTCTCTACCTCCATGAAGATTGACTGCCTTGGAGACAGGACATTTTTACTCTGTTTTCTATGATAAGGTCACCTGATGTGCTTGTGGCTAAGGAGTTGTGGTGGAGTCATAATTAAGTGCTCAGCCTGGCTGCTGATAAAAAGTTTGAGATCTCGAACCCACCAAGCAGCTGAACAGGTGATCTGCTTCTGTAAAGATTACGTATAACCTCAGAAATTACGTGGGGCAGTTCTGCTCTGTGCTGTAAGGTGGCTGGGGCTTTGTTAGCACCTAGTGACAAGAGGGTAAGAACAGGAAGTGGGACAGAGGAGGAGCCAGGTCCCTTCCTGCATGATCTCAAGGCAGGTGGTATGACCTCTCTGAGCTCCACCTGCCTCCTCTTCTGTGGCACTGGTGTTTCCAGGACTTTAACAGCTGGTGGGTGAACTGAATAAGGTAATGGGTGTGGAGGTACATAGTACAGTGTTTGTATTACTCTGTAAACATTACTCTGAAAACAAGGAACCACAGGGCAGAGGTGTGACGTTTAGTGGGGTCCATGCATGATCAGGCTGTGATGGCCAACCCAATGGGAAGCTAGAGCGTCATTTCATTTCACCACACCCAGATAGCGTGCACTTTGCCTCTTATTTTCATAAGCCTGAGTTTGAACAATCTGTGTGCCTGGCCGTGTGCTGAGTGTGTGGCTTCCCCACTCACCGCTGGGCTTTGTCTCTCTGTGTGCACCCAACCCAGTACACATTCCGTTCTCTGCCCAGTAGCCATCATAGTCTTTTCTAGTTATCCTTTTCTTGCAGACTTCTAGCCGCCTGTGTGCTCAGAGAAAGGACTGTATTGTTTTGTTTCTTGGATGTTGG